CTACTACTACTCCTGGTCCTACTCCTACTCGGCTGCTGTTACTGCTATTGCTACTGCTGCTACTGCCACGGCCACTGCCACCCCAAATGCTATCGCTGCTGCTGCTGCTGCTGCTACTGCTATTGCTATCAGCACCACGAGTGCTGGTGCTACTTTATTGCTAAAACGGCGGCGACGACGACCACCGGCACTTCTGCTGCCACTGCAACAGCCGCAACAACCCACCCGCCGCCGCGACCACCGCTATAAGTTCTCCTACAGCTACATAGAGTCTCAGAGGGCGTAATAAGTAGGTTTTACGTGCGAATTTAGGCAGGATGACTTTCATTATGAACGACTTATCCTAAGCCCTCCTAAGACACCTTACAACAACTCTTATAAGAAGTCTTACTAAATCCCATGGCCCTTCGAGTAGAGTCCCCGCTGCTGTCCTCTGCCAGTCCATGGGTGCGCAGTCCGCCCCGTCGCCGCAGGCCAGCTTCATTTGGGGGTTTCCGAAAATAGGGGACCCTAATATAGTACCTTAAATAGTAGGATCCTTATTATAAGGACGCCAAAATAAGGTACCCCTAATTTTCGGAAAGTCCCATTTAGGATTTAGGGTTTAGGGGGTCTGGATTTCAGGTTCGAGGCTTCCGTAATACAGGGGCCTATAAAGAATTACCTATATTATTTTGGGGATTCTTTAGTATGACAACTATACTATACAGGACCCTAAAACCCTATTCTAATTATTAAGGCCCCTATATTAAGTTGGGGTTTGGGGGGGCCCAAATTTGACCCCCAAAGCCTGCAAGGCGATGGGCTACTCGGACTCTCCGATGCGAGGCCGGGCCAGCGACCCTTTCGGTGAGTTTTCTCAGGAATGCCATGCAGGGCCCGCGTGGCTCCGGATGGTATATGATTGTATCCTCTTTACGTCCTTATGCAACTTACGTACTCTGCCCCAAACCCCAAAGCCACAGCCATTGAGTGCGGGTGCGGATGACGCAGGTGCCTCCGCGCCAGCAGTTGCCGGGTGCCGAGTGCGGATGCAGTTTTATGCCGAGGGCCAGTCAGAGCAATGCCGGGCTTTGTGGTTAAGGGCCTAATGTAGAGGCCTGAATAGTTGCCAATACTTCCCTTGGGGATCCTGATTATGATTACAGTATAGTGGGCCCCAGAACCCCTATTCTAATTATTAAGGCCTCTATTTTGTGTCTAGGGCCCAAGCCGCGAAGCAGGCGTGTTTAATTGTGAGCCTCATGCTGCCCTCGTCATGTGAGGTCCCCACACAGAAGCCTGTGCACACTGTGCCTTCGGCGCACGCCCAGCCCCCGGCATCCAGCAGTGCGGAGTTAAGGGTTTGGGGTTTAGGGTTTTGGAGCTTTGGGTTTAGGGTTTAGGGGTTTATGGGTTTAGGGTTTAGGGGTTTAGAGGTTTAGGGTTTAGAGGTTTAGGGGTTTAGGGGTTTAGGGGTTGAGGGTTTATGGCTTCAGGCCTTGCTATCGGCAGCTATGTACTGCAGTAGTTTAGGGTTTAGGGTATAGGGGCTGTAAGCACGCGTTCTGGGCAGCGGGAGCCCCCTGCAAAAAGGGCCCATAAGGGCATCTTATCACAGTTTTCTCCGCATGTCGTCAAGACAGCGGCCTCACGAGGGCTGCGACTGGCATCTCCAACTCATGTTTACCACCCGGGGAAGAATAGCTCCTTTTTGCCCCTCTATAGTCTACTGCCGCCAAACCCTTGTAGTTTCATAGACGGAGTCTTCTCTGCGGAAGCTGTTGATCCCTTTTATGGTAACCCTTGCAGTAACCCTTCTAGTAACGCTCATGGTAGCCCTTGTAGTAGCCCTTCTGAGGTCGTCAGACGATCAAACTTACCGGCGCCTGCGCCAAAAGCTCCAGGCACGGAGAGCCGTTTGTTGTCTTTTCCTCACGACCCTAAACCCAACCTACCTAAACCCGAAACCCTAAAGGCCCTAAAGCCCTAAAGCCCCCAACCATGAGCCCTGAACCCTGAACCTAACCCGAGTCCTACAACTTCCAAAGGGGAACTACTTGGATAAGAGTTGAGATCCAGGTTTAGGGTGGTAGAGTTTCAGTTTCAGGAAGGAAGTTTCCCTTACAAAGGCCCCAAACAGTACAAGTAGGATCCCAACTCTGAGGATTCCCAACTGAAACGAGGCCCGGTATCAGGAAAAGGGCCCGGAACCCCCTCGGACTGCCCTAAACCCCGAAATCCTACCACTCCAGACTGGCCTAAACTCAGAAATCCCACCACCCCAAGCCCTGAGTGAGCAGGTTTTGCTTCCAAGCAGATGGCGAAGCAGATAGACTTCGACTTCGACTTTGACGACCTGGAGTTGGAGGTGGCGTCGTGACGTAGAACGATTGAGTGTTGAGGGTGTAGGGGTCGTAATACTGGGTGGTAAAACAGAAGCCTAGATAACCAGCCACACTTCTGGGTTCCTCGTGATATCTACGCTGACTGTAGGTTCTAGAGTATACGATCCTTATTCTAAAACTTACCGCCCCTATATCACACATCCGCAGAGGCCCTCCTTCAATACTAAAATCCTGAAGCCCTGTGCCCTTTGTACCCTAAGCCCCAAAACTAACCCTAAACCCTAATCTCTAATCCCTAAACCCTAATCTCTAATCCCTAAACCCTAATCTCTGATCCCTAAACCCTAATCTCTAATCCC